GACCTTCTGCAGCAAATGCTTCAAATCCTCCTCAGTTTTGGTGAATGAAGTTGTGTCATGCATACTGTCTGTTGACTGAGTCTTCCTCCAATCTTGATGTCACATTCATCTTCATAAAGTCCAGCCTTTCAAACACTGTTTCACACATAGATTTAAAAGGGATGGAGAAAGGATTTATCTCCAACACACTGTTTTCTTGATTTTGAACCATTCAGTGTTTGCTTGCTTTGTTCGGACAACAGCTTCCTGGTCTAGGTATAGGTTTCGCTAAGTATAATCAAGTGTTCTGGGATTTCCATTCTTCTCAACATTAGCCACAATTTGTTGTGATCCATACAGTCAAAAGCTTTGGAATAGGTGATAAAACCCAAACACATACTTCCAATACTTTCTACTTTCAGCCATGATCCATCTGGTATCATCAATGATATCCCTAGTGCCACAGCCTCTTCTAATTTCAGTTGTGTGTCAATCATTTTTGGACAGTCTTCAGCAAGATTCTGCTTGCATGTGATATTGTTCAAGGATTTCCACATTCTGTAGGATCATCTTTATTGGGAATGGGAATAAATATGGATCTCTCTTCTAATCAGTTGGCCAATTACGTCCTCCAGATATCTTGGGACCACCTGGTGAGCACATACAGGGCTGCATTTGTTTACTGAAATATCTCAACTGGTATTTCATCAATTCCTGGGGCTTAATTTGTTTTGGTCAATTCCTTCAGAGTAGCTTGAACTTCCTCTTTTATTATTATTGGCTCCAACTTTTTATTATTATTATTCTAATTTTTGTGTGTGTACCATCAAGTCGGATCTGACTGGTACAGGAGGAGACTGTCCTTCCTTCTCCAGCAGAGCATTTGGTGGATTTGAACTGCATACCTCTGGGATTGCAGTACAGCTTTTTGCCACTAGGCCACCAGAGCTTTAATGGCTCCAACTTTACAAATTTCCATGTTTCCATGAGTCTGGGGCAGCTGCAATGAATCCCACTGCTTCTGACACCAACTCTAAAGGAGCAAGGTCCATAAGGGCAGCATGAGGAAGGCTGGGCCTGATCACAATCAACTGTTCAAAGGGGAACTGTCCCCATCAGTATCATGCACAGTACCAAAGAAATAGCGAAAAGGTCAGACATGGCCCTCATCCCAACCCCCATACCTACTTCAACTAATCACTGGGTCTGATGTTCACTGCAAAATGACTCAGATACTTTACTCATAGTTGTGGGGTTTATTACGGAAATAGGATAGCGAGTGGAGGAGGCAAAGGATATCACACAAAATCCAAGTTTAATCCAGCAATGCCAAGCCACATTAACAAGACTCCTTAATTAGTTGAGAGCTTCTCAGTCAACATGGAAAAGTCCATGATCAGTTCAGCAACACAAATCCAAGAAGCCTCTTGTTTCCTCAACTGTCCAGCAAGCTCTGTCTCACGGCAGTCACAAGTCAGCTCTTCCTTCAACTATCCAGCAAGCAGAATCTTTAACTCCGGTTCTGGCTCCAGGGTTCCGTCAAGTTATGCCTTGCAAGTCTCTCCACAGTTATGTTAGTGCTATCTTATGTTGGCTTTATAGGTGTTGATAATGTTGAAGATGCTGATTAATGGATGAACCATGTGTCTGCAGATGAGGCAGCAAGAGATCAAGCCCCCAGGAGGGGCTCTGTCAATGGCTAAAAAAGTAATTCTAAAAGTTCTAACACTATGCAAAATAATAGAGCTTTAATAAAACTTTATTTTCAGGCCATGGTCTCTTCCATCACTTCTATGCATCTGAAAGCTAGACAATGAAAAATAAAGATGACAAAAAGAATTGATGCCTTTGAGCTGTGGTGTTGGAGGCGAGTACTAAATATCCTATGGACTGTCAAAAGAACAAACATATGTTTTAGAGTAAGAGCAGCTAGAATGACCCTTGGAGGCAAAGATAACAAAGTTTCATCTCCATACTTTGGGCATGTTATTAGGAAAGGCTATTCCTTGGAGAGGAACATCAAGCTTGGAAAGGTTAGTGAAAACAGAGGAGGCCCCTCAACGAGATGAACTGACACAATGACTGTAGCAATGAGCTCAAATGTGTCAGAGATGAGGATGGGACAGGACAGAGTTCAGATCTATCTAGGTTTGCTATGAGTTGTACCAGACTTGACAGCAGCTAACAACATTAGTAGATTCTATAGGATTCAAACCATATACTACTGCCATGCAAACCATTATGCTGATCTCTGAAAATATTATTCTAATATAAATAAAACCACTATTTTGAGAGTTCAATTTTCATTAAAAACCTCTTAAAAATAAAGCACCTCTAAATGTGTCAGATAGTTTTAACAGGAAAGAACTACAAATTGTATATGTTGGTTTGACACTACATCTAAATAAAAAACAAGTTATGTTAGTTACATAATACATAGTGGTATGATTGTTATGTACCATTAAACTTACAATGACTAACACTGACCTTATAAAAAACAGATCAGTGCCGAGGGTGTTGACTGTGGATGTGAGCAAGATGAAATTGCTGGCAATCTCAGTATTTTCTCCATATATCATGATGTTGCCTACTGGCCCCATGGTGAGGATTTTTACCTTTTTGATATTGAGATGTAATTAATAGTAAAGACTGTAGCCCTGGATCTTCTGTATCAAGAGTTTCAAATCCTCTCTGCTTTCAGCAAGCAAGGTTCTGTCATCTGAGCAACTCAGGTTTTTGATGAGTCTTCCTCCGATCTAGATGCTACACTCTTCTTCATAAAGTTCAGCTCCTCTAAAGATTCATTTCCTATATAGGTTTAATAGGTACTTGAAGCATATTTGAATGGC